GTTTAATGTGGGAGGAAAGCCCAAAGTGATGCAGGTCTCAGACGTTTACCACTTTGGTGAAACCCACGAGCACGGGTATGGTGCTGATAAACCTAGAAACATAATCGGGGCAAACCGGGATTCGAACCCACAATCATAGGTTTCTGGCATGCCCAAGGGACGCAGCTCTAAACAGTGAATCGCGGCGCCTCAGACCTCCTTAAGTATGGACATTAGTATGTCAGTTACATGGTGCATGAAGATCCTGTTGTCAGATATGAGTTCTGGTCAGACAATGTAAAGCAGTATACTTATAGATCACTTGTTCAGACAGCATGTACCAAGAAAGTAGTTTATTCCAATGCCAGTGACAGTGGCTATGCAGGTTATTGTGTAGACGAAGGCTGTGTAGCTTCTCATGGACAGTAATAAAGGAGTAGATAGCTCGAGTTCGACTCGGAGAGAGCTGAATGTGCTACATATGGTACTACATTGTCTTGCTGCAACCCAGGATCACCAACGGGTGAAATGGCTTACAGACAATCAAAATGCCGTGTTTATAATAGTAAAAGGTAGCATGTACCATCATTTACATTCAGTTATTTGATTTAGCTTACAACGCAATGTGGAGCTTCATATGTGTGTCGTACAGCGTGTTCCACTGTTAAATATGTTTGTCACAGAATATGCTCTAGAAGAATTAGAAATGACAGAACCCTCAAAGCAAATAAAATAATATAATTTATTGTGATATAAGAGACAACAAAACCTATTTACATAATTCCTACGAACTTCTTACCAATTATCTGACAATATAACTACTAATACTGATACTATAATACTAAACTAATACTAATACTGGCTAATACTAATATTAATCTAATATATATACACACACAATACAATCAAAAAGGTTCAGGTATAAAAGATAGCACATGTCACATTAAAATATCATCATCAAAAACAAATCAAATGTCTACACAGACAGGGAATTGTCCAACGACAAAATATAATTCTTGTCTTTCATGACACAGTATGAATGTTGATGACAATAGATGGTCATTTGTAAATTGTCTCCCACGACAAACAATGAGCACGTTAGAGTGACCTTAGTCAATGTATTGTCTTTGATGACAATAGTTCATATTAAAGGACGTGGAGATACAGCATCAGTGAATACTGCATTTACTCACTGCACTCTGATACAACACAGGAGTCACGTCTATACTGGACGCAGTAACGTCTTGGTAGCTCATGTCTGTCTTCCATCAGACGGTCTCCCGCAACGTGTCTTGGTGTGTATCATCTTGTTCCCAGGGTAGGACTTAAGGTCACGCCTGCATGACATTTACACTGAAAGGACGGTACCCGAGTAGCTGGGTGTCATGTCCAACACTACTACTCACAATATTCAGAACATGTCTAAATATTCTGTATATGCATATGTGGGTATATATACTCCATTACTACCACAAAAATACAAAAACATTTTGTTACCATTTTACTCTATATTTACATTTACAATATGCACTATACTAAACAACAAAGTTTAATAATTTACTATCCATGGAACATATTAATAAACTAAACAATCCTATTATACATGAATATGATTAAATATGAACTACTTACGCCCGATCTTGGCCCAACATGTAATGGTGGTCTGGCGTTCTCACCCTCGAGTGCACGACCCACACTGATATGACGGGCGAACTCTTTATATACCCTTGCATTGACAAGGACTTTCTGCCTCACAATCGCACAACACAGGCTTAGACAATGTACAATGTATCCGCTTGCTCTCACCTTTCATTCTCGCGTTCAAACCTAAATATACCTTTCACACTTGGCTCCGTGCACACACGAGCATACGACTTGTGATTCTGTGTAACGGTTGGGTATTGGAGAACATTTGGCCTCTAAGGCTTGTTTTGTTACAGTCGGCGCATGCTTATCCAAGAGTTGTATCAAGGTATTTTCATACAACAATATAGAGCATCCACATCCCTTGGTGAATTACACAGTATCAATGTTTTTGATGTCTTGGCATAAATGATTTGTTTGTTTTGACATCGAGAATGCCATTTTCAAGATATGGTGATCATTGTCTTCTACAACATTACTGTCATATCTCGTCAATGCACATTTAAAAATGTCCAGACTTTTGTGTTGATTCATTCACGTGTTGGATTAACCCCACTGGGTCAATGAGTTTTATCAATTTCTTCGCCTCTTTCCAATCGTATCATAAAGTTCATTGAAATCACCAACGGTTGTATTTTTTCCCCTGGGGGAGTTTGTCGGGGAGAACCGTTAGTTCATTGTAAAACTGGGTAAAAAGGTCTTCCTTTTCGATGCCACACGTCTGTACAGACCTTAAGGACAAGTTTGAGACAGTGATGATTAAATTCATCATTTAACAAAACTCTTGTGTAACAGAGATTAGATCATTATTTGCTGTTATTTAGGCTTTCATCTTTCATGAAGAAAATATCGAGAGCATTATGAGTGATACAGTCTTCGATATCCAGGGCCTTGTTTCTTGAAGACTGAGAATTTCACAGAAAGGTTTACGTCGGTTTCAGAAGGTTTGAATCCCAATGTTCAGTGCTCTCACTTTCATCAGTGTGTCAAAGCTCAGCCTGAAATCTTCGTTATTCATAACCAATAAACTGCCGATGGTGATTGCCCGGCTTTGTATTAGTGACCAGCCACACAATAGCTTCTGTGTTTTGTATTTGTTGGCTATCAGTACCCACTAAACCACAAAAGTCACACCAACGTCGTGACAGTCGAAAACTGTGTTATCTATCAGATGACATGTGAGGAGCTACGCACACACGTCAGAGCAGTTGCGTATCAGTTGTAGGTCATTATGTCATCGATATTTGTAGAATCAGGATCCGCTGATTGTGTGAGAAAATTAAATAGTGCTGATACCAGGTGTTCGTGAAATAGAGAGCGTATCCTGCCCCACTGGTGGAACACATCACATGCTGAGTCATCAAGAAATATCGACCTGCATATTGATGTATCATTGATACTTCTCTCGATATTTTAATTGTCAAAATTACACACACCTCTCTGAAGCACATACCACTTGCTAATAGGAGTGGTGACGGTATAACCATGATTTGGGCATGTCAAGCGTTCAACTGAACAAACAAGGGAACATATAGTGCAAAATAGCCTTTCGGAAATCATGTTGGTCACTCACACGTCAAATTTGGAAATTTCCTCCACATGACTTTTCTACCATAAAAGTAATATTAAGGCCTTGAATGCTGCTGCTGAGCAAGAGTCATATGACGTTCTTTAAAATAGTCGTAGAAAGAGCATACTCGATTGTATACTGTTAAGGTTCTGCAATGCTGACACCAACGGCTGCAGCCAGGTCCATGATATCCAATGCACATGAAACACGCAGTAGTTACATTGAACAGTTAATATCGTACCTTGAAACACCTTGGAACACCTTGGAAAACTGCAATTTTATCATGCAACAACTTCCGCATTTAATGAGATTATACCTTTCAATATGATCATATCCAAGATAATATGGTTTTTACAATATCAAATTATGCCACAGTGTCAGAGTGGTCAGCAAGCCACACCTGATATACGAGTACTCCCTATGACGAGTGATTGAACATCAAACCAGGTATCTGTCCTCGACGTGTTGATGTGATTGTGCGTTGCATTAGACAGTCTTTAAATGTACACTTTACTCCATCCACCGTTACTGTATCCTTTCCTTCCTCTCCACAGACAGTGTCAGGTCCCTCCATGTCCACACACAGAGTATAGGTCGCACCTGCTGTTAGGGGAAAAGGCCTTGAAAACAGGACGTCATTCACCTGTCTACTGCCCTGAAGCATCATCCTGTTCAACCGTTCAAAAAACACCACTTTATCAAGGTCATAACAAGTGATATTCAGTTTATACTCAGCATCATCATATCCACCATACAACTGACACCCTTGCAGGGATATGCTCTTGCTAAGCGAGAAAGAGATAGCATTGGACCCAGCTGGTATCAATAAATTGCGATAAGACACAAACCTATACACACTTTTACAGAATGCCTTCAGTTTCCTTCCTATAGTACTTACGGTTTTTCTCTGTGAATGTTTAAATGGCGATATGTCAACAGTTGTGTCTACTGCTCTGTCCATTATTCGTATTCTCTCACTGTCTGTCAGCACACCAGATCGGCCTACATCCTTCACCAGATACTCTAAGGGCATGCTGGTAAACCGGATCTCATACTTTATATCTCCAAGGAAACTCCGTCTGTTCTCAGGCGTGTCATTGACACCTTCCTGTTTGCATCTTCCTTTTGTCCAGGACAGAACTGCTTCAAAGATGTCTTCCTCTTTAAAATCCAAATTATCTGACCTCACAAATTTAGCCACACACTCAGCGCAAAGCTTCAAAAACCCGTGAGATTGGATGACTCTCTTGCCTCCTCGAGTCAGGATCTTCAAGGCCTTTTGTTCCAAGTCCAGCTCCCCATAGCCATGACACTGCTCAAGGATCTGACAGACATTGTCTTCTGACAGGGACTTTTCCAGGAACGTTACACAGAGATTGTACAATGCATCTATGGCATATTTCCTGGAGGTGTACATTAGACCCGTGGCTGTTGCAGCGTTGATAGAGGCCTTGTCTGTGTACACATACCTACAATAATATCTAAGAAATAAGAATGGGAAGAAATAAATGTTGTTTGTTTGTATTATGTTATTAATGTTTATCTTTATTAAAGTGAAAATAGTATAATCACATCTGTTTTGTGTGTCAAGGTAGGGATATGCCTCTATGCTAAATATCGACTCTGCTACCGCGTAGGGCACACTTGATGTCTTGACACTCTTAAAGTACGAATCCATATAGTTCAAACAATGGCTTTTTGTCCTCCTAGCATCTCCGAAAATAATATGTCATCAGAACCAGAGTACATAATGTGTTATTTTCATTGGTGAATAGACTAATATACGTAACTGGTGGATGAATCTAACCTCAAGAACTCTTTGAAGATGTCTGCCTCAATGTCAGGGATGGTTACCTACCCTGTCTCCGCCAGGGGGCCACAGAACATGGCATGGAAGACACAGCTGCGACTGACAAGAACGTAGCGGTGTGCTCGGACCACTTCTGATCCTACACGGGAGGTGACGTCACTTAAGTCTTCCGTGTTGAGCATGCGCAGATTACACTCTGTGACAGTCTTCCCTGACTGCCAGTTGTCCACATATCCAGATTCTCGGCTCTCATTGGACATCATGTAGCTTTGAACAGAAAACACAAGGATAAATAGATAATTGAGAATATGGACAATGGCTCTCATTAGAGCAACGCAAACAAATTATTTTACATCTTTATCGATTGTGTAAAGTCCATAGAAATTCGTCATTGGTCAGTTAATAAAAATATTCAGCTTGCTGTGTTGGTGGAGACATATAGAAGGTATATAGTTTTATTTACTCACCAATGAGGCATGAGTGTCATACTTCACGATCCAAACCCCAACACACATTTCACCAAATTTACAGCTAACCTTATTCAGTATTTAGCCTAGTTGTTAATGTGTTCGTTCGTCACGCTGAAGACCCGGGTTTGATTCCTGACTTAGTTACAATGTGTGAGGCCCATTCCTGGTGTCCCCCGCCGTGTTATTGCTGGAATATTGCTAAAAGTGCCGTAAAACCATACTCACTCACTCAGGTAACTTAAGCTTGTTCACTAGCCACAATAGTAAACATTAAATTAAGCTTTTATTAAAGTAACTGTCAAGTATTTTTTTAAAAATCGAAATGACTTCATATCACTGTTTTGATAAACAAGAAGGGTGTCTTTGTGCATTCTGCTGAGCTAGACACCTGGAGGATCCGCGTTTCGTCCATTAGTTGTGTCAGGATCCGCTGATCGTGGGTGAAAATCCGAGATTCATGCTGATTATTAGCCGTGGGCAACACGCCTCGTAGGCTCCACCATCGTGTTCACCGTGTATGTTAAAGTGCCACCTCGTGTTGTCACCGAAATATGCATTAAATACTCATATCCCCCACAAACATGACATGTCTGCAAGTCAAGAAATAATGTACGGTTTTCAAGATCTGCTCCGGAAACGACCACTACCGCCATTTTCAGTCTAGGTCAAAGTCGTTCCTATGGATACTCGAAAATATTTTTTAAAGTTCAAAAGGCACCGGTTCACCACTAGACCTATCAATGTGCCAAGTTTGGTTCAGATATCTCTAATTTATTTTTAGTTCTGCTCCGGAAACAAACCGTGACGGACGGACCCATTCCAATATCCCCATTCCACTTCGTTGCGGGGGATAATAGTGTTCAGAGTGTCGTAAAACACAAGTATTGAGGATGTTTGCTTGAAACAACATCGAATACAATTACTTACGGTACACAAGAAGCCATACGATGTTCTTCATTATCTGTTTCCAATGTTGCATCCATCACCTTCCTGTCACGGGTCATCCATGCCTGTATCATCATTTCCCAACATGCCCCACACTCCGACTCTTTGTACACCACAACTACAAGCGACATAACCCTATTTCCATAATCATAAGAAGTCTCTGCTACTAGCAGAGCCCATTGTACGATTCCGACTACATCATAAACATGCGTTTATGAATTACTATACCAGTGGCCTTCAGCAACCCATGCTTGCCGTAAAAGGTGACTACGCTTGTCGTATAAGGCGACTTACGGGATCGGGTGGTCAGGCTCGCTGACTTGGTTGATGCATGTTATCGATCCCAATTGCGTGGATCAATGCTCATGATATTAATCACTGGATTGACTGGTCCAGACTCGATTATTTACAGACCGCCGTCATACAGGTGGAATATTGCTGAGTGCGGCGTTAAACAACCAACCAACCAACCTAGTGACGTATCGTCTGATAAAATTTAGATCAAGACAATGCACAATTCACTGACTGAGGAATCACTCAATGGGCAATTAGAGGATGAATTTCATGTTTTGTTTATATGTTCAAAATATTCTTCTGTCAGAAACCACTATTTGCCTTGGTTATCCAATGTCCATCATGATAATCACAGTTTATGTAATCTACTCAACTCCAAAAATATCGACATTGTAAAGGCTTTGGCCTTATACTTAAATCATGTATTTAATGTGAAATAAGACTACTTGTATTTATTTTCCTGACATCACGTGACGCAGCAATTATTGTAATTGTACTCTAGGCCACATGGCAGAAAAAATGCTGAACAAAGAATCTTGAATCTTGAATCTTGAATTACTCAATGTCAAAACATACGAAGGCGATTACTATAAAAGTGTAGCATCTCCACTTGTCAGTACACACCACTGGGCCAAAAGCTTGATTATATCACTATCAAATATGACGCTCTTTGAAATCGTCGCAGAAAGAGCATGCTTGATTGTAACCTCAATCGTTATGCAATGGACCGCCTCCGTGGTCTAGTGGTAGAGCGTCCGCCGGAGAGCGGAAGGTCCGGGGTTCGATCCCCGACCGCGTCATACCAAAAGACGTTAAAAGATGGTACTTGTTGTTACCCTGTCTGGCGCTGGGCATTAAGGGGTTAAAACAAGGACTGGTCGGCTCAGAGTCAGTATACTGTGTCTGAGTGGAGTATTCATGTTAAACTGCGGCATGGTATCTCAGTGGGCTAGCACTATAAATCGGCATCAGTCCGGACTAGTACAAGCAGCCACACAAACACACACACGTACATGCACGTCGCTATATAAGTGCAATAATCTTGGACGCGACGTTAACCCCCATTTCACCCGACCTGACACAACGGTACATGAAACACATAGTAGTTATCTTTGAACAGTAAGATTTTACCTGAGAACGCTTGGAAAACGTCGAGCGCAAAATGAGGTGTGTTCGATATCACCCCGTAATTCTAGTTAAACATCTTCCGCATTCACTATCTGTATATGGGCGTGTCATGTGATGATAACAGGGGACAACTCTTGTCATGCTCTATCTCCCGATACGGCTGTAGGGTCACGAAGCCTTTGAGTTACAGGGTTCGTTCTCCTTGCCAAATATCTGGGTTCGATCCCCCACATTGGTGCAATGTGTGAAGTACGCTGATTGGAGTTTTGCCAAACTCGGCTCATAACCTCATTCTCTCATTTACTATATCTTGTGCTGTTTTTGTATCGAGACTGACTCTGTCCAAATCATGTTTAGCTTTAGAGGTAAACACTGTGAGTAGGAGAAGGTCCACATCGGAGCATGGTTGGAGCCACACGTGGATACCTTTAATTTATTTGATGAGTGGCTCCAATTGGGTATGTGTGTATATGAGCATTCGGATCCAGGACGCCGAGATTTGTCTTAACATCAAGCACACATTGTGTGATCTGGAGCATGTTGTGGTTAAATAAGGCGCTAGTTATGTAATAGTTGTATATTTACTATAAACCTAATATGAGTGAGTGAATGAGAATGGTTTTACGCCGCTTTTAAAAATATTCCATCAATAGGGACACCAGAAATGGGGTTGATACATTGTATCCATGTGGGGAATCGAACCCGGGTTTTCGGCGTGACAAGCGAATGCTTTAACCTCTGGGCTACCCCAACGTCCAAACCTAACATGAAGTCAGAGATGATGGGTAATGTGATCGGTATTTGAGTCTGATGACAAGCATGTGTCACTGTGGGCGTATACTTTCGACACCATTTAAACATCCATTGTGGCCACCCGATCCCTACTGAGTCTGTCCTGGTGACAAGCATGGGTCGCTGTGGGCGTATATTGTCGACACAACGTACAATATGGAGGATGAAGCTTTGTGTACGCGAACAGCGGTATACAATTGTAATATATTTTAAACAGGTACCAGGTTGTTAAAATGTATTAGACTATAAAGCCAATACGAAGTCAAAGATGATGGAATGTCAACTCTTCCTTGACACTGTATTTCACATTGTTCATGTGCCAAGGTTACCACAGACTCTTCCCCAGTGGCCAGAAAGTCAAGCACCATTTAAACATAATGGATGTTAAAATGACCGCCGATCCATATTGAGTCCGTCCTGGTGACAAGCATGGATCACTGGGGGCGTATGCTGTCGATACCATTTAAACGTCCGTTTTGGCCACTTACACAAAACATTCATTGTAACACAGACTAGATGATCCATGCACTTTACAAAACATGCACCAGATCGTGTAGCTAGGCAACACAGACTAGATGATACATGCACTTTATATAACATGGACCAGATCGTGTAGCTAGGCAACACAGACTAGATGATCAATGCACTTTACATAACAAGAACCAGATCGTGTAGCTTAGCAACACAGTCTAGATGATCCATGCACTTTATATAACATGCACCAGATCGTGTAGCTTGGCAACACAGACTAGATGATCCATGCACTTTATATAACATGGACCAGATAGTGTAGCTAGGCAACACAGACTAGATGATTAATGCACTTTACATAACATACACCCGATCGTGTAGCTAGGCAACACAGACTAGATGATCCATGCACTTTACATGTACCTTCATATGTACCAGATCTTCTAGGTAGGCAACAAATCCTACTATCCATGTACTTTAAATATGTTACCATATCGCGTAGCTAGGCAACGATGGCTAGATAATAGACGGACTTTGCACAAGATGCATCAGGTCGTGTAGCTTGGCAACACATTAATGCATCAGATGAACATATTTTGGTCGCAATCTGCGCTTTATTGAATTGAGCTAATATCTGAGAAACAAAACAATAAAGACATAAGAACAAACTTATGATGACCAACTTTTTTATTACAATTGTAGCAATGTCTCGCAGTAGACTTTGACACCGATATGAAGCAAGTGACATGGTAATGATACAGAGAGCACATACATGCATATACAGTAAACTACGGCTATAGCGAACACGCTTATAACGAATTGGCGGATATAACGAACTGGTTTTTAGGTCCCTGCCATTTGCTGTATAAATGATGTAAATATGCTTATAACGAATTACGGTTATAACGAACTAGAATTTTTGGTCCCTTTGAGTTCGCTTTAACCGTAGTTTACTGTATAGGCAACATTAACGAGATTATAATAAACAAGTACACATTCGTCTTGAATAGCAACAGAGGGCTGATTAAAAGGGTAATTGATCATTGGGTATAAAAAACTCTTTTGCAACTCATGTCTAACATAAGGAATATATACATTGCTTATCGGATTGACTGTAGTTGTTAAACTGAGCACACTTGCAATAGATTTAACACGATGACTTTCAACGAACCAGTCCGTACGTTTGTTGTCGAAGAGAATAGAAGTAATCTATCACTGAACATATTTTTGTTTGTTTAACGCCGCACTTACCGGTATTATAGCTATATGATGGCTGTCTGTAAATAATCAGGTCTGGACCAGAAAATCCAGTGATTGATATCATGAGCATCATTCCGTAATTGGGATACAATGACATGACCTTCCGAAACCGTTAGTCGCCTCTTACGACAAGCATGTGTTGCTGAAGACCTATTCCACCCTGGATCTTCACGGGTCAACTGAATTCAAAACCACATCTTAGATACAGCATAGTTCAGCCACAATGTCCTGATCAATATCAAGGGGAAGTATGATTAAAAACACACACAACAAAGCACACGTGCATTTATGTTTTTACGTGCCCTACAAACGGTGAGAAACCAAAGCGACCTTCACCCTTCATTACGTCATTACAGACTTGCACTACAGCTTCAGGCATCAATCAAACCACGCACAATAAAGTACACTGTTGACGTCAGTATGCAATTAGTTAAGAAAATACGGGTTATATCTACAAATCTTAAGAACATTTATTTCGAAGCAAATATCAGCAATCAACTCCTTGTCCTCTCATGTTGTATCAGTGGGAATTGGGTTTGTGTTGATTTACTTCTGTAATACACAGATGTAACGTAGTCGACATCACCAGTGAGTTCAGGCTAGATGTCACCGACAGTCACATGGAATCTAATGGGATTAAACCTGTTAATATGATCATATGGAAGATGATCTGGTTTGCTTGATATCAAATTATCATATATCATCGCCATAGCAGTCGGCGAAACACACCTGATACACCAGTACTGCCTATGGCGGCGGGAGACTGTACAGCAAACCAGGTATCTGTCCTCTCTCTGTTGATGTGTCTGTAGTGCACATTCGAGAGTCTGTAAATGTGAACTGTACCCCATCCACTTTTACTGTAGCATTTCCTTTTTTACCACAGCTGGTCTTAGGTCCCTCCATGTCCACATACAGAGTATAGGTCGCACCTGCTGTGAGAGAAATAAACCTGGGAAACAGGACGTCATTTAGCCGTCCCTCGTCTCGAAGCGTCATCTTTGTGTTCACGAAAGGTTCATCAATCGCCACGGTATTGGCGCCATACACTCTTATTGTCAGTGTATACTCTGCATCTCTCCAGTGTTCACCATACAGCTGACACCCCAGTAGGAGAATGCTCCGACTAGGTGAGAAGGAGATAGCACTTATCCCACTTCTCAAACTAGAGCCCCACAAACTGTGAGACGTAAACCTAGCCACTCGTTTACAGGATGACTTCAGTTT